ATCTAACTATGTGTTTTCCACCAAGTTTGAGTATTTTTTGGTTTGTTCTGTTCTATGAGTAAGTTGAAATGCTTCATAGTAAAATAGAAGCCTAAATGTTATCTGAAAACAATAAGAAAATTTGCAATTGCAAAGAAACAAAGCAATATGCAATTAAAAAAAACAACTAAATGGAGGAAAATGATGTTATTATTTATTGCTGGATAATTGGGTTGTGGTTGTTTTTTTTTTCTTTTTTCTTTTTCATTTTCAAAATTGTCCAAATTAATCTGTATTACTTTAATCTATATCATTATATTGTAAATTTTATTGTGGGTGTTTTTTAAATTACATCTTACAGATTGTTTTTGTTTTAATATGGAGCTCACTATCAAATACTTCAATTGCTGCTAACCAAATAAATTTGACATTAGTGTGGCCAATTAAAGCTGAACAGTTATGTATATTTGAAAATAAAAACAGAAATCTCAAAGAAAAATTGTTCGAAGGAATCAAGTACAGATTAACAAAAGAGAAAAAAATGGATACTTTATTAATTCCTTATTTCAACATTTATTGAGTGTGTTTCATGTGTTGGATACTTTGCTAGATGTTAGAATAATTTTACTTTGATATTTGACACATTCAGAGCTGGTAGGAACCTGAGAGACCATTGAATCTTAATCTCTTTGTTCACAGGTAAAGACACACAGAATAATAGGAGTAAATGCCAGGGGTGACCTAGAACAGCCATGAAGAAAAACATAGCTCCTGCTCTCAGTAAGTTAGATCAATATACTCACAATTAAAATTTGTGTCAAATGCTTTAAAGGGTAAAGGCAGGGGTGTAACAGTACCATGGAGAAAGCGTCTGTGCCACAGATTAAGGGACAGCAAAGGAGGCCTATTAAAGGAATTTACATTCCATTTGAGAACCAAATAAATTAGCAGAAGCCTGCCAAATGACACAGGAAGGACCTGATGGCCAGAGAGAACTGTATGCAAAAGCCCAGAGTTATGAGACAACAGCAGTGTCTGCTAAGGGACTGCCCAACAATTCAGCTTGTCTATGGCAGAGAGGGTGTTGGTGGTCCGGAGTGCCATGGGCACAGGAGGAGAGTTGAGAGTGGAGGGGGGTTGATGAGTAGGTGGTAGAGGAGGGAGGGTATGTTGCAAAGTACACAAACCTGGAAATCAGTAGGGCTATCAGTGATCATATGAGAAAGGCTTTGTATACCCAGGTAGAATATATGGCTTTATCTCTAAGGCTCTGGAAAAAAAGCCAGAGAGATGAAGACATTTTGTGCAAGAGAAGTTAATATGGGCTTCAAACACACTGAGTGAAAGAAACTTGTTAGTTATCTAAGTCAGACAAGAGCTGTATCAAAGGGTCCAGAGACTTTTCACATTCTACTTCTTCAGTCTTTTCAAATATCAAAATAATTAACCACCCAGGGCTTTTAAATTAATCAATATTTTAAATAAAATGTGAAGACATTATCAATTTAAAAATAGTTGACATATCCAGGGCATTCCCAAGTTTTTTATTTAAGCTGTATGCACATTAAGGGTCAGGAATTTATAATATCCTAAGGAAATCATGACACTGTCTTGACCATGCATAAACTTCATCCTATTTCCAATGTGACTAAACTCTCCTTTTGTTTTAAGACACTGTACACATAGTTGGTTATACCTACAAAGGATTCTCAGGCTGTTGCCTACTGGAGGAGACTGACCAACATTTCTTATCGTTTAACACGTGGCTCCACATTCCACAATGGGCATCTATTCATCTGAAATACTCATGACTGTGGTCTCTACACTGCTGTATTCATCTCCTCCTGGGCAATAATTAGTTATTTTAGGTGAGATAGAAATATATTCTAAAATACTTGTTATTAAATACAAATATATTCTGCAAGATCATTTTGACCCATAAAACCTTCCATTAAAAACCATCATCTTAGAATGGAATCAGCATTCTTCAAACTGCTATCTGCCAAATTGCTCAACACTCACAGCCTCTCTAGTGTGGTGAAGTTATCTTTCCAGGAGCCATTTATATGAGCAACAGTTTGGTGAGTGGCACCTTAGTAATACAGGAAAAGTTAAATTATTGTAAGTTTTCTTCTAAGCAAATATAATGTTTCACTGTATTCCTATATTAGTTCAGCATAGGGTCACAAGTATATACACTATTCTGATTATAAAATAAGTTATTACCTCTTTCATGTGGGAAAAAATGAGGTTAATTCAAAGGTACACAATGAATAACATGTTAGAACTTATGGATTAAAACCAAAATAAGTACTCATTGCTGCCTGCATTAAGAATTAGAGGGCTTACTCTTTAGCTTCATAAAACTGTTCCTTTTTTTCCCTAATGAAAAATATCAAACAAAATTAAAAAGTGGACAAAATAGTAATAAAAGTAACCTTGGCCTCGTGAATTAAAATCACTTAATGTAAATGATTATAAAAAGTACCTAATTTTCTATGAAAAAGAGTCAGAATTGAAACATTAATTCTTTCATACTTCAAAAATAAATTAGTGCCCAGCGGGTGTGGCTCAGCGGTTGAGCATCGACCTAGGATCCAGGCGATCAGGGTTTGATTCATGGTCAGGGCACATGCCCGGGTTGTGGGCTCAATCAATGACTCTCTCATCACTGATGTTTCTATCTCTCTCTCTCCCTCTCCTTTCCTTTCTCTGAAATCAATAAAAAGATATATTAAAAAAATAAAAAATAAATTAGCATATTGTATGAATTATTTTGGAAATGCATGCTCTCTGGGATTCATNATATATTAAAAAAATAAAAAATAAATTAGTTAGCATATTGTATGAATTATTTTGGAAATGCATGCTCTCTGGGATTCATACTCTTTAGTTTTCTATATTTCAGTGGAAGAGCAAATCACCTAGGTGTAGCCTTCCATGGTTTCACACTCTTAAAACCATTTAGAATTCTGTATAAATCCTTTGAAGGAGGGGAAAAAATGAAGACAATTGGATGTGATGTAGCTTCTTTTCGTCACCAAAATTTTTCTCTCTCCCCAAAATACACCAGCCTCAGCATATGGATCTTTTTAGACTCCTATCTTTGCTGGTCTATAACCATTGCAGGCTACTATTTACCTTGGATGTACTGCATCTTTTCTTTTAAAAGTTCAAAATGCTTTGATAACAATTTAAATTTCTAATTATCCATCACGTCTAACCATAACTGATATGGAATGTGGCATGTATACACCCATATTTATCCACATATGTGAACAGTTATAAAACCACATTTATTTTCTCACTGAACACCTTGGGAATTAAAAGCAGATGTTATTCTACCTGGATGAGAAAACTAAGCAATAAAATGAAATTTTTTGTTCATATTCACACAGAAAAACTGTGACTAAAAGAAACAATCTCTGAAGCCCGCTTTAGTGTTGAACAGCTTGAGTTTCAGGATGTATAGTCAGGTACTAATTTCTAGCCAAGCCTTTGAGAAAGCTATGTCAAACCTCAGCCAAATCCACTGTTTTAATTATGCAAAACTCACTAGTTTAATAAACCCACTCTACAGCCCACTGCTCAAAGTCTTTACCAGCGGGATTCTAATAGAGCCAGGTCCAGAATGGAAATGGTGCCATCTGCATCACCACATCCACTCCAGCAGCACTGCTATTAAATTAATAGTACCGTCTGCAAGATAAAGCAGCAGAGACCCCATTCGTGTGGAACCAGTTGAGTTTCTGTTTAACCTCCAGCAGATAGAAATGCGTAGCCAGTTCAGTCATGGCTAGTCAGTCTGTACCTAAGAGCTGTGTCCAATTTCCCTGACCAAAGGAATTAAGAACCAAAAAAGGAAAGGGGAAAGTAAGAAGACATTAGTTCCCTAGCTACAAATGTAAATAGGTTTCAATTGAGTAAGCTTCAATGTCCCTGATTGTATAAGGATTGTTTGGCCAATATGAAATGAATTCAAACATTAGGATTAAAGATATTATGTCTGCAGAATGATTTCAGTTCTTCACAAAAGGAAGTACATGAAGCATATTTTAAAAAAATGATATTTTGAATATAGATTCGCATACTGGTATAATTTTAGGTTAATTGTTACTTCCATTATTTGAAATTTTACTATTTTGCAACTTTGATATTTACTACAGGTAATTTTGCATTAGCCAGTTTTGGCATAATAAATATTAGACGGCATTCAATTTTTATCCCTCCCTAATTTCTTTTACTGTCTGTCTGCATCACACAGTTATGGTGATTATGTTTTATTTTTGCCCTGGCAAAAATAAATGGGTCAATTTCATCCCACAAACTCATGTGAAACTGACCATTGAGGAAACCTGAGCATGTTTAGAAATAGGTATGTGAATGTTTTTTGCTTTCTATAAGTTTCTTTAAAGTTTTATGACTACATGGGCCACCCTCCCCCCAAAAAATGATGCTTGTAAGATGAGCAAGACAATGCTGGTCATGCAACACTGCTGTTACTAGATTCAGCTCACTTGAAAGGGATAGTAATCATCATGCATCACCTTCTGTCTTTCACTTAAGGCTGTTGAAGAAAGTTGTCCAGCTTTGGCAGGATGCACTGAGGTAGTCTAATGACTGCATTTCTTTGCCACAGATTGAGAAACTATTGCATGGCATAAAAATTCAAGGTTGAGATAAATTGAACCCTGACTTATTATAGTATCTTATTTTAAAAAATGTTTGCTAATAAGTTAAAAAAATATGTCTGTGGTACTACCTTAGTAAAAAATGGTTGTAAATAATTTAAAGATTGTCATACATTTTGAAATTACTTTTATTCCAATCATTAAATATCATTTATATATTTATACCTGAAGTTAAATGGAATAAAGATATTGTTTAAACACTATCAAAAGTTAAAACAAAAGAAAACTAATTATGAGAACTTCCCTTTCTCATATAAATGTGTGTTTGTATATATACATATGTATATATCCTAAATAAAAATAAGAATAAACACAAAATTAAACATTTACCTTTAGTTTGAATTTTCCTTTCAGGTTTCTCCTCCTTTTCAGTTTTTTCTTTGCGTGTTTCTAGGAGAAAATAGAATTTATCATTTAAAAGCTCTTTTTGAAAATGTACAAAATATAAACCATAGCTATGACTCAAAATTTATCATTTCACCATGAAGCCTAAATTATTGTATCCATCAAGCTTATATGTGTCTAAAAGGAAAGAGTTTGTAACATATTGCTACATAAATTACTCATTTATTGAAATAAAAAACAATTGATTTACCTCAAATTAGTTATTTGAAAAAGCTTAAAAACTTACATCAATGGAAATATGTTGCCATTGTTTTCAGTGCAAAAATTGATCATAAATTATAATTATGTTTCATATCAGTTACTCTCAATGAAAATTAAGAATCCTTAGTAAGAAAGTTATTTAGATTTAGGAAGATTTAGTTTTTACATATTAAATTAATAATTTGTGAAATGAACTGTAACAACCATATTATAAGAAATGTATCTTAGAAACAGTGACTCTAAGCTATACTTATAATCAGATTTTGGTATTTCATTTAACCAATAATTACTGCAAGCAAATATGACCCATTTCATAAAATAAGTTAGTTGTTACATTTTTCTAAATATCAGGTTTTAAGAATATATTTAATCTGCTGCTTGCTTCAGTACATATACATTGCAAGGCTTAGAAAATGAAGTCAATTCTGAATGTGCATTTAATTTGGATAGAAGTAAATTTGAGATTAGAGTTTACAAATATGATTACTACCTCTGAAAAGTGACTTAATCTTAAATACCATGGTTTTTCTTAGGAAAATGTTAATGAGGTTTACTTATTTATTACAACTGTTCCACAGAATCTCTGACATGGTGCTAATTACTGTACACATTTAAAATTTTCCATTTATAAATTTGACTTTAAATTTTTATAATTTTTCTATAAGTTTAAAATCAAGACTAACCATAAGGAAATCCTAAATATCTTCAGAAAAGACAGCTACTTTTATTCACCTGTTAAGAAGGTATTCACCACTGTAAAGATTTCCTTCCTTCATTTTCCTCATTAATTCATCATCATAGGGCCACTCCTCTGCCCTTATCCCATCCTCTAACTTTGAATATGGCAATGGAGATACAAGAGTTAAGATACTCAATCGCATCTCTTAAAAATAGCTGAATTCACCAAGGTGCAAGGAAAGAGCTGCAAAGGGCACAGGAAACTTTCATCTTCCTGGATCTCACTACTTTTTCTTTAATCTCTTCCTTTTGTGTTTCCAAACCCTAGTACAAAGCAAGGTTTATCATCTTAGCCTCATTGACTTCTTGGGTTGAGTGAATCACTACTTGGGGTGCAGTAGGTCTATTCTCTGCACTCCATGGTATTTAGCAGCATCCCTGGTCTCTACCTATTAGATGGCCAAAGTCTCATCCCCAGTCTTAACTATGAAACAGGTCTTTAGGCATTGCGAAGTGCCCCTGTAAAGCAAAATGATCCCTAAGAACGTGTTCAGATGGTTCTGGACTGTATTTCTTTTGCTTACCTATTTGCTTTTGGGTTCTATATTATTTTTTATAATTATGTAACAAAAGTAGTGTAGCACTGCAATCTATCATCTAGAGCTACATGTGTGGAAACTTCTGATTAGTGTTTTAAGAAATGTATTCTGTTTGCAAAGGCATAATAAAGTCTCATCTTATAGACTATAGGCAAAAAAGCTAACAATAAACCTTATTATGCGTGCAGGCACACACACACACAAACTTATATCTTTAGAACAGTTCTAAAAATGCAAGATAACCAACCTTATTACTTTGTCACTATTCAGACTTACACTGTCCATTGTAATAATCACTAGACACGTGCATATTAAGAACATGATATGTGGTTAGTCCAAATGGAGATGTGTTATAAGTGTAGTATACACTGGATTATGAAGGCTTAATATAAAGAAGAATGTAATATATCTCATTAATTTTATATTAGTTACAAATTGTAATGATATTATTTTTAATATATTGTGGTTGTGGTTTTATTTATGTGTCCACTTGGCTAAACTACTACCCCAAGTCATTCAAATGAACACTAATCTAAGAGCTGCTGTTAAAGTGTTTTACAGATGTAATCAAAATCCCTAATCCATTGATGTTAAATAAGAAAATGATTCTGGATCATCTGGATGGGCTTGTCTGATTCCATTGGAAGGCCTTGAAAGCAGCCCTGAAGTTTCTCAGGGAAAGGGAAGAAATTCTCACTGTGGACTTGGTCCCTGATCTGTGGGCTCAAGTTTTCCTGGGATCTTCTCTTCCTGACTTACATAGTCAGTCCCTACAATCATGTAGGCCAACTCCTTATAATAAATGTCTTAATATATAATATATTGGTAAAATTTCCTACTGGTTCTGCTTTTCCGATTGAGCCCTGATTGGATTAAATGTTATTAAAATTAAATTTTATTATTCTTTTTACTTTTTTTAGCGTGGCTACTTAAAAATTTTAAATTACATATGTGACTCACAATTTATTACTATTGGACAGTGCTGGTCTAGTCCTATGGGTAGGCAAATGATCTTTTTAAAATCTAAGATCATCCACAGGGTTAAATCTTTTACAAGTGAACTGAAAAACTAAACTCAGAATTTTCCCCTGCCAGTATTATCCTTCCTTCCTCCTATTCAAACCAGCAAAGGCTCTGCGGAAGACTGGTTCCTTCTATAACTCAGGCCAAACAAAGCAGCATACTGTCAAAGATGAAAGTGAGCAGTCTTTGGATAAGCGAAGGGAGTCACCTTTCTTACTCCACGCAGAGATGAATTTGAATACAGAAGAGGGATGAAATGCTGTAAATTAAAATGTTATGTGAAATGCTACATTCATTGGGAAATGAGAAGGCTTTAAAATAGTCATCTAGAATATTTTCCTTTAGAGGTAGGTCGGTGTGTGTGTATGTGTTTGTATTCCACAGACCTCTGTTGGCCACTTAGAAGAATAACAGAGAGATTCTGGGAGTCACACAGGAGAATCAGGCCTGAGTTGGATCTTCTGCAGGATTAGGTGCTGAAGACATCCTGCCTGGAAACACTGTCACAGCCCCCCAGCCTCTCTTATTCTGGGGAAATACACTGTTTGGACAGGGTGGTGCTCTATAGCACTGGACAGGCTGTGTTGGTCCATGCTGGTGTTTCCTGCAAGGTAGGTGGAAGCTTGCACATGAGAGAACAGGGGAAAGAAGCAGTAGCAGATGCTTCTTTGAAGTTCCTTAGCACTACCTCTTGAAGGTAAATAAAATGAAAGAAGACAAGCCTCAAAAAGATGGGGATCATGAACACCACACAGGAAAAGGCAGAGAAATGCATTCCCTCCACTGGCTCCCAAATACATGAAGGAAAGTTCACCCAAAAGTGGAAATTAAATCCTGGTATGTTGGATACACTTTTATAGTAAGTTTCACTTAAGGAAAAACAAACATAAATGAAACTAAAGGAGAATTAGACTGAAAGAAATGACCATATATTTCAGAACTTTTATTGTTTATCCTATGGTAAATAGACTAGACACAACCCAGTTACGTAACTCAGACCAATCTCAAAGATAAAGGCTCCATTTTAAAATTTTTCTGATGCTGCAATTCAGCCTAATATAAAACAAGACAGCCCAAATGTTTTGGACAGATAAACTCAGATTTTTTTGCAAGTAGGGTTTATAGATTAAACACACACATGCGCACACACACAAACAAATCTCTGCAGCTCAGAATGAACAGAAATATGATGACTTATATGAGCAATTTTTTGCAGGAAATCATCGACTGATTTTTTAACTGATGATCACTTGAAGGCCATTAGTATTACTATGGGAGGCAAGTGTAGACAAGCACAGCTAAACTTGTAAAGGCATACCTACTTTTCTCTCTCTCATAGAATACAAAAGAAATTCACTTCTGATTATTCAAACTTAAGTACAAATTAAATGTCTCTTTGCATGCTTTACTGCTACATTGCATTTACTTTGGGGATTGGATTCCATCACTAGTGTCACTGTCTGTGGCTATCAGATGTCTGAAGAATCCAGTAAAACCTCTACACAGTGTGCCAGTTCTCTCTCCTTACACTTTAGCCAGGAAATGATGACCATTCAGGCTCCTGTCCAACTGAGCACAACATGCTACCAATTTAGACCTCAGAAGGATATTTTTCTCATAAGCAGATGATGCCTGATTTGTTACTTTCAGTTGATCCTGTCGGCTAAGAACCATGTGTATAAGAACACAAAATTAAATTTAAAAGACTTAAATCAGTAAAGTAGAAATGTATTGCCCTAGGGTTTTCAGCAAACTTCAAAAAATAAAATAAAATTTCTTCTATTATATTAATACTAGCTTCTAATTACTTAATAATTTCCATAGACAGGTGAATGCCTCCACTTTATGTAAAATGACAGCATGGATGACAACGTAAAATCCCGTTTAACATCATTACACTCTTTAAGAACAGGTTACTTGGACATGAACCTATCCTGGACACAGGAACAAAGGAGAAAGTCAAAGCGGACACTATTTACATCCAAATATGTGTGCTTTGCAATTAGGTTAGAGTCCAATGTCCCTAGAGACATACATATAAGTCTCAGTACCCAACACTGGCTAGAATCATAAGCCATTTTGGTAACAGCAAAGCTGAAAGATTGTTTTGTGACTTACAAGGTCCAACATCCTCTTATTGGCCCAAATTAGAACTTTTAGGGGTAATGGGAACTCTTCTGGCCTCATAGTGAATGCTGCACATTCCACAAAAATATTCAATTACTCAGTAGACCAGTGATTTTCAACTGGTGGGCAGCCAGGATTTTTAAAGCATGTAATACCAGACTATTTAGTCAGGGGCACTGATCTCTTTCCCTTAGATTATCAAGATAGAAAAATGACAACAGCTAACACAGCAATAACCGTCTGGTATGAAAAAATCAAAATTATACCTTTTTTGTCAGATCGGCAAAAATATATATATTTTTTGGTGTGCAGCAGAGTTTTAGTAATTAGTTTATGTGTACCATGAGATAAGAATGG